ATTCTATTCTATTCCGTTTCCTATTCTATTCTATTCTATTCTAGTCTATATTCTATTCTTTCTATTCTATTCTATTCTATTCTATTCTATTCCTTCTATTCTTTCTATTCTATTCTATTCTATTCTATTCTATTCTATTCTATTCTATTCTATTCTATTCTATTCTATTCTATTCTATTCTTCTATTCTATTCTATTCTATTCTATTCTATTCTATTCTATTCCTTGTTTTATTATTCTATTCTATTCTATTCTATTCTATTCTATTCTATTCTATTCTATTCTATTCCTTGTCTTATTATTCTATTCTATTCTATTCTATTCTATTCTATTCTATTCTATTCTATTCTATTCTATTCTATTCCGGGCAGGATCGGATCGAAGTGGGCAGAGCTGGAGAAAAGAAAAGGAGAAATAGAAGGGAATTTTGAGGGTGGGAGAAGAGGTCAAAGGTCAGGCCCAGGGCTGGGTCCCTTTTCAGAAGCGGCCCTCTTCCCGGGGCGCCCGCTGAGCAGATTTCCTGAGGGATCCTTTCACCGGGAAGAGGCGAAGGGGAACGAAGGAAGGGATAAAAAATAGACCAGATGGCGGGGAGGAAAAAAGGGAGCTTGGGCATGGGAAAAAGGAGAACTCTGCACCCTACGCAAAGTCCCTCCCCCCAGCAGAAGGGGAGGCCCTTTACTCAGCCTTCTTCCTCTTCCTCCTCCCTGCTGCCCCATAGCAAAGATTGGGCCCCCGATCCCTGCCAGAGCAGCTGGAATACCCCATGTGCCTTTTGGCAATCCCGATCTTCACATCTGGAATGGGGGGCAGGTATAGATGGGAAGGGGGTGTGGGGGGGGGTGTCAGGCCCCTGTTTTGTGGGGCGCAAGAGAGGGGGACGGCCGAAAAGGGGAGAGCCAGAGGCCAAAGATGGCCATTTCCGGGTCAAAATCCTCACCCAGAGGGTGAGTTGAACCACATTGTTGCTGAGGTTTCCATTCAGCTGTTTCGTGGTTGAAGCTAGTCCTCGGCTTACGACAGTTCGTTTAGTGACTATTTCAAAGTTACAATGGCACTGGAAAAAGGGGGGCCGATGACAAGGAATAGAATAGAATAATAAAACAAGGAATAGAATAGAATAGAATAGAATAGAATAGAATAGAATAGAATAGAATAGAATAGAATAACAAGAGAGAGGAGAGAAGAGAAGAGAAGAGAAGAGAAGAGAAGAGAAGAGAAGAGAAGAGAAAAGAGACGAGAAGAGAAGAGAGAAAATAGGATAGGATAGACTGGAATATAGAATAGAATAGAATAGAATAGAATAGAATAGAATAGAATAGAATAGAATAGAATAGAATAGAATAGAATAGAATAACAAGAGAGAGGAGAGAAGAGAAAAGAAGAGAAGAGAAGAGAAGAGAGAAAATAGGATAGGATAGACTGGAATATAGAATAGAATAGAATAGAATAGAATAGAATAGAATAGAATAGAATAATAAGACAAGGAATAGAATAGAATAGAATAGAATAGAATAGAATAGAATAGAATAGAATATTGTCTTTTTTATTTTTCTTGTTTTTCCCAATATTTTGGTCTTTTGTATTTTAACTTTTCTTGAATAAACTAAATATTATCAAGGGGAAAAAAAAAACAAGCGATGGACGGTAAATAATCAAGGAGAGGAGCAACCTTGAATTAAGGAGAAAGTTCCTGACGGTGAGAACAATGAACCAGGGGAACGGCTTGCCACCAGAAATTGTGGGTGCTACATCACTGGAGGCTTTCAAGAAGAGACTGGACTGCCATTTGTCTAAAATTGTATAGGGTCTCCTACCTGAGAAGGGGGTTGGACTAGATGACCTCCAAGGTCCCTTCAAATCTGTTATTCCTCCTCCTCCTCCTCCCCCTCCTCCTCCTCCTCCTCCTTTTAAAGAAGAGATTGGTTTTTGGCCTAGGGCAGGGGTAGGCAACCTTGGCTCTTTTATGACGCATGGATTCCAACTCAGGAATTCTGGGAGTTGAAGTCCAAGAGTCATAAAAGATCCAAGATTGCTTACCCTTGGTCTAGGCGGGTCTCCTGCTTGACCAGGGGGTTGGACTAGATGACCTCCAAGGTCCCTTCCAAATCTGTTCCTCCTCCTCCTTTTAAAGAAGAGATTGAACAACCAATCTATTAATTCTATTATAATATTTCTATTCTTCTCCTTTCTTGAGGATCTCAACCATCTTCAAGAATTTTTTTGGGGGGGCGGGATTTTCTGCTTCCTTTTAGCTCCTCCCGGGGCTCCCAATCTGCTCAGGGGCCCGCTCAGACCCCCCTCCCTCCCCAATCAAACCCCATTAAAAATAGGAATCCCTCCCCCCCACCCACCCACCCATTCCCTCCTTGTAACTCTCTCAGAGGAATGACTTAACCTCTCCCCCCCTTTAAGACCCCCAAACTTTTTTCTCCTTCCTGATTTCCCCTGCCTCTCCCCTCTTCCAGAGCCCAGTTCCCCCCCCCCTCACCGGCCTGGCAGGTTAATTACACTATTTAAATTCCCTCAAATAATTGCCGCCAGTTAATTAAGCCTCCATCGATCGTTAAAAGCGGACCAATAATGAATATCCCAGCAGCCTCAATGGGGGGGGAGCATCGAGGAGGGTGACTCATAGGCTCTCCCCCTCCCCATGGCTTTTATCCCTGCTCAGCCCCCTCCCCACATCAGGGTTTGGAGGGGGGGACCCTGATCTAAGGTTTCCCCCCCCTTCTGCCTCATTTCAAGTCCTTCCTTCTCCAGCTTCCTCCCTTTCCCAACACCGTTGAGTTACGTCCACAACCGAGCCCAAATTTCCCGTCACTCAGCGAGACAGTTGCGAAGGGAAGTTGGCCCCCATTTGACAAGCTTTTCTCGCCCCCGTCGTTAAGCGAATCCTTGAAGTTGTTCAGTTAGTAAGACGGTTGTTCCGTGAATCGGGCTTCCCCCCCCCCCGTTGACTTTGCTTGCAAACCGGTCACAAAAGGGGGAATCACGTCTCACACACACACACACAAACACACACACGGGGACGCTGCGACCATCGTAAACACGAGTCCGTTGCCGAGCATCCAAAATTGGATCCCCGCAACCACCAGGTCGGTCGTTAAGTGTGAAAAGCGGTCCTAAGTCTTCCTTTCTCAGTGCCTTTGTTGTTTCTAGTGGCTCATTTGACTGTGTGTGTTGTGTATGTGTGTGTGTGGGGGTATTATTTTGTTTTTTTATCTTTTCTTTCTATATTGTGTTGTTTTGGTTTTTTTGCTGCCTAGATTCGTGGTGAGCGAGTAGGCAGCTAGATGGATTTCCTAAATAAATACATTTTCAACAGTCTCTAAATAACAATTATAACTTGAGAACCACCTGTACTCTTATTTTTGCGGTGCAGAGGACCCCCCCCCCTTATCTGGGGACAGATTTTTGATCCTCCCCTTATCTGGGGCGAGACCCCTTCTCTGCCCCCCCCCACTCGCCCTAACAATAAAAGAAAACACACTCCTATTTTATTCTGCCTGGCCTAAACTCCACTATCAATTTTTTAAAGCAAACTCTTGTTAGAAATTCACAAAGTCTTCCCTGGAGAATAATCCAGGGAACAAAACAAACCTAGACACATTAGGAAGGAGGGAGAGAAAGGAGGGGGGGGTCTCTGGGGAATCCCCCCTCTTCTAAATTCAGGGGGGGGAGAGAGATTGGTCCTGGATCCACTGTCCTTCCTCTTTTCCCCTTTTTGGGCTGGCACCCCAAATTTGGCAGGTAGGCTAAATTCCTGTCTCCCTCACCCACTCCTGGTCTCTTAAATTTATTTTTTTTTAAAATGCAATTGCAGTTAAACAATTTCGGAGGGGGAGGGCTGTTTACTCACATGGAGCGTGTGTGCGTGGCGGGGGGGGGGCAGCCAGGAAGAGTTGAGAAAACTGGAAAGCCTTTCAATTTAAAAATAAATTTAATTTTTTTTTTAAAAAAATGGTCATTTTTCCTCTCCATTCAGGGTTTATTAAACTCGGTCTTCGCCTGCAAGGAAGCTCACCTCGTTCATTTTCGGGGGAATATAAGGAGAGAAGGTGTTGCTGGGCGGTTTGTACATGCTCAGAGGCGCCCTCGCTCTTCCAGTTTTTTTGGGGGGGGTGGTGTTTCCCCTCTTTGTTTGCATTGCTCTCTAAAATCCACCGAGGAGTTAGGGAAACCTTACAGAAAGGGGTGATTAAGGAGAGGCGGGGTGGGGGGGGAAGGAATTTTGAGGGAGGGGGCTTTCTAGGGGCTAGAGACCCCGGAGGAAAAAGTCTGAGATTAATAAAGGGGTCCTTTGATTGGGAGGATATTTTTTTCACAGGGGGGGGAGGCAGATGGCAACACCTCCAGAGGGAGAGAGAGAATGGGGAAATGGGGTGTAAAGGTATATCTACTCCTAGAAAAGAGAAAAAAGGGGGGGCAGGGGTTCAGAAACAGGGGTTCACCCTCCAGGCAACCAAAGTGGGGGCAGGATAGAGGTCAGGGATGAAGATAAGACCCCCAACCCCCCCCACATACACACACACAAACACAGACGGTCCACCTAGAAGGGCTGAAGTTTGGGGGTGCAAGGTGGAGATGCTGACCCAAGTGGGGAGGGGCTGAGGAGGGAAAAGGGGGGGAGCAGACTCCTGGGGTCAGGTGGTGGGGGGCAGAAGCAGAGGAGAGTCCCTGGGAATGTGAGGAGGGGGCTGCCCGGGGTCGGGCAAAGGGTTGTCGCAGTGCCAGACATTGGTGGGGGGGGGGAATGTCGTTTGCTCTGTTTTTTCTGCCCCCCCGCCTGAATTTTGACTCAGGCACCTCTATGCACTCTCCACTCGCCCCCCCCAACGGCAGAAGGGAGGGGGGAGAAAGGGGAGGGGAGGGAGGGGAACGCGTAGTAGCCCAACAAGGCGAGCGAGGGAGGCGGGAGACTCAGACGGGCAGCGCCGCAGCAGACGAAGCAGCCCCGCATCCCTCCGCCGCCGCTCCTGGCGCGCTCCCTTCTTCCTCCTGCCCTTTGCCGCCGCCCCCCCTTCCTCGCCCTCCCCCCCTTCTTCCTCCTCCTCCTCCCCCTCCTCTTCCTCCATCGCCCGGACTCCCACCGACCCAGGTAAGTCCCGTCACTTCTAGGCAGGGGGGGGGAAAGAGGGGGGAGACCCCCTAAGGGGGGGCAGAGGGGTTTTGGGGGGGGCACAGAGACCCCCTCTTGGGTCGTTGGGTGGGTGGTTCGGGGGGACGCGAGTTGGGGAGGGGGCGGCGGGGGAAGGAAGGGGGGGGCTCCCAGGACAAAGTAGGCGAATTTGGGGTGCGCGCGTGTGTGGGGGGGTTCGCTCAGCTCCTGCCTTTCTCCGTCCCTCCCACTTTGTCCTTTCCCCCCCCCCACTTTCCCGCTGCAGGTGGGCGCCCCCTCCTCTCCGCCTGCTTCTTCAGCCTGTGGGGCGCCAGGGGCTGGAAGTTGGGTTAGGGGCAGGAGAGGAGGGGGGACCCCGGCAGAGAAGGGGTATGTGTGTGTGTGGGGGGGTCCACGACCAGCCTGCCTTCCCCCGCCCCTCCCCTCCTTCCAAGTCCGGAGAGGATTCCCAGGGACTGGGGTGTGGGGAGGGGGGGGGCTAGTGGGATTCCCATCCGGGGTGGGGTGGGGGATTTGGGGGATGGGGGGAGGCGTCTTTCTCCACCCCCCCTCCCGTGCCCTGCCAGCCACCGGGTCTTCCCCCCTCGCCCCCCACTCCAGGCTCAGCTGCCCTCACCCTTCCACCCACCCACCCCCTCCCCAGCCCGGCCGCCTGATTAAGGATTTCAGGCACGCAGCTCCGAGTGTAAATCTACCCCGGGAGTCTTAAGACTGCAGCGCGGGGAGGCGAGAGGGGGGGGGAGGTCTTGTGAGAGGGAGGCGGGGGCTCGGGGAGACCCCTGCCGGCGGGACGGCGGGCGGGGTGGGGTCGGCGGGGGTCCCCCCTCTCGCCTCCCCAGCCCAGCCTCTCCGTGGGGAAGCAGGGCGAGACACAGGCAGGGAGGTCACGTTGCTGTCGGTCTCTCTCGCTCGCAGCCCCTTCCTCCGAAGACCCCCCCCTCAGATCTGTAGACCCCCCCTTCTCCCCTCTGAACACCTTCTCGACCGACCCCCCCCCCTTTTATGAGCTGCATCTTGACCTCCTGGCGCCCCCTCCCCACCCATCTACCTCTCTCAGCCAGCTTTTGCCTCCCCCCCCCCCTTCGTGGGGATTCCGGCCTCTTTCTTTGGGGAGGGGCCGCTGGCTCTCGGGGGAGGGGGACCCCCGGGACTGGCCTGTCGCACCCTGCCTGCAAGCCCCCAGCCCCCCTCCCTCCCCTTCCCTCTGCCAGCCCCCCCCCCCAATTTGGACATCACTTCCCCTGTGAGGGAGGTAGAAGAGCGGAGGGGAAGCAGGAGAGTCCAATGTCCCCCCCCTCAAAAAAAATCACCACACAACTCCATCAAACAGCCCCCTCCCCACCTATTCCCCTTTCCTGCTGCCAGCCCTCCCCCATTTGAACCTCATTTTGAGAGGGGTAGAAGAGCGAAAGGAAACCACGAAGGTCCAATCTCCCCCCCCCAAAATATACCCTTTTCAGCCTCAGCAGCCCAGACCACCACCCAACTCCATCAAACAGCCCCTTCCCCACCTATTCCCCTTTCCTGCTGCCAGCCTCCCCCCCGTTTGAACCTCATTTTGAGGGGGGTAGAAGAGCGAAGGGTAACCAGGAGGGTCCACTCTGCCCCCCCAAAAAAATATACCCTTTTCAGCCTCAGCAGCCCAAACCACCACACAACTCCATCAAACAGCCCCCTCCCCATCTATTCCCCTTTCCTGCTGCCAGCCACCCCGTTTGAACCTCATTTTGAGGGAGGGTAGAAGAGCAAAAGGAAACCACGAGGGTCCAATCTCCCCCCCCCCAAAAAATATACCCTTTTCAGCCTCAGCAGCCCAAACCAACACACAACTCCATCAAACAGCCCCCTCCCCATTTATCGCTCTGGGATTGCTGGTTTTTTGTCTGTGTGTGCTCCCTTCGACCCTCCCGTCTCTCCCCCCCTTCTTTTGGAGTCAATTTTCTGCCCAGGAGAAATAAGATGTATTGGGTTTTCTTCTCCAGGTTATTTTTTTATTTATTTATTTCTCCTCCCCCCCCCCCATCTGTGTCTGGGAAATAACTAATCCTAAACAATCCACTTAGGTTTGGGCAAAAGCAAGGGAGAGCAGAGAGAGAGAAAAAAAACCCGCCAGGCAGAAAGAAGAAAAGAAAACTGCGAAGGAGGAGTTAATTAAAACAAACAAGACGACTTGCAGCGGGGTTTAATGGAATACTTGGAAATTGGGGGTGCCTCTGTTTGCCTGCCCCGAGGTTCTGTGCCAAAATATCTGTTTACGGAGGAAAATGAAATGGACAGCTCACAAGCAAACATCAGAAATGCTCTTTTTTGGGGGGGGGGTAGGGGGCGAGGGGTAAAATGAAGGATGGACGGGAGAAATGAGAAGAATTTGGGCCTCTGGTTTGACGAGAGGCAGGCGGCTTGTAGTTCGTGCTGAAAGGAAAAGAGGAAATGTCTTTTTTCCTCTCCAGAGAATACTTAGCAAAGGTTTGGGGCTATTGCTGGTGTGACAGGGACAGGGCTGGGGGGGTCCTTTGCTGGTTACATGGGAAGGGTGAGGGTGAGAATAATTGAGAGAGGCCATCTCCAGTTCTGCTTAGTTGAGATTATGGAGTTATACGGATAAAAAATTGGTTCCAGGAAGCCAGAAAAAGGAGTTTCAACAATCACACAAACAATCCCTTTAACCAGACAACATTTCCTGAACATTGCCTAGGTCTGGAGTAAAGAGGGAGGGAGGGAGGGAGGGAGGGAGGGAGGGAGGGAAGGAAGGAAGGAAGGAAGGAAGGAAGGAAGGAAGGAAGGAAATTGGAAGAAGGGAAGGGAGAGAAGGAACAGAAGGGAAGAGGAAGAGGAAGGGAGAAAAGCAGGAAGTGAGGGAAGAAGGAAGAAAGGAAGGATGAACGAAGAAGAGAAAGGATGAGAAGAAAGGAAAGGAAGGAAGGAAGGAATGTAGGAAGGAAGAGGAAAGGGAAGGGAAGGGAGAAAAGCAGGAAGGAAAGAAAGGGGAAGAGGAAATGGAAGAGAGAAAAGCAGCAAGTAGAGAAAGGGAGGGAGAGATGTAGAAGGAAGGAAGGGGAAGAAGAAAGGGAAGGAAGAGAAGCAAGAAGGAAAGGAAAGGAAGAAGGAAGGAAGGAAGGAAGGAAGGAAGGAAGGAAGGAAGTTTTACCTCAGGTTCCCCATAGTTGTTCCCTCCAATCCGGTCTCAAAGCCCCTGTTATTATCCACTATGGAAAAAAAAAACCTTTTCATCAAAAGAAGCACTTATTTCTTAAATGGGTTGCGATACTCAGACTACTTCGAGCATCGGCGCGTAAGCCTCCCGTCTAAGCAGAGTATCTTTCCTTAAAAGCTGAATAAAATAATTGGCTACTCCTAGAGGCTACGATGTCCAAAACACAAGTTTTTAAAGCTCTGGCAGATTAAAGCCCTCAGATTTGTAGCTGAGACCAAAAGAGAAAAAAAAAATGGAGCTCCCTGACAGATACTATCCCTCCGGGTTTCCCCCTTCAAATAAAATAAAATATAAAATAAAATAAAATAAAATAATAAAATAAAATAATAAAATAAAATAATAAAATAAAATAATAAAATAAAATAATAAAATAAAATAAAATAAAATAGAGAAGGGGTCCAATGTTCTTTCTGAGTTTCCAAAAGCGCTAGAAAAACAAATAACGGGGGGGGGGGAGAAAATCCCATGTGAGTTTTTTTTTAAAAAACTGGCGCTTCTGCCCTCCAAAACTCCCGGAGAGATTTATTCTCAAATTAATTTTCTCCATTATTCAGCAGTCAGACATTACAGAGTGGAGAAAACAAATCATTAGATTAAAAAAAAAAAATCACGTGCAAATTAAAAAGGTGGCGTTTCTGCCCTCCAGAACTCCCGGAGAGATTTACTCTCAAATTAATTTTCTCCGTTATAACCGTCATGGTCCAAGGTGCATGTCTGGCAAAAGGAAAATTCTTCTTCCTTCGGGGAAAGAAAACTTGAGCCTCTCTACCTGGTTACTTTTATTTTTATTTTATTTTATTTTTGAGGGGAGGCGATCTTAACGGGCACATTTTGCAGCCCTTTGAGTGGGTTTTGTCTGAAATGGTGTGGAGTTTCCTGCCTGAGCAGGGGGTTGGACTAGATGACCTCCAAGATCCCTTCGAACTTTATTATTGTTATCATCATCATCATTATTATTATTATTATTATTATTATTTTGTCTTTCCTTCCTCAGCTTTATTGCAAAACCCAAATATTTGAAGCTGACTTCGGACTTTGGAGGCTTCTGAGGTAGAGCTAGGCCTCAATTTACGGCCACAATGGAGCCCAACATTTCTGTTGCTAAGCGAGACATCTGTCAAGAGAATTTTGCCCTATTTGATGACCTTTCTTGCCATCGTCGTTAACTGAATCACTGCATTTGTTAGTTAGCATCTCTGGGGGGGGGGCACGTGATCCCCTTTTACGACCATTGGACAAACAAAGTCCACGGGGAAAGCCAGATCCCCTGAACAGTTGTGTTACTAACTGAACAACTGCAGCGACTTACTTAACAGCTGTGGCAAGAAAGGTCGTAAAAGGGGGCACAACTCACTTAACAAATGTCTCGCTTAGCAACAGAAATGTGTGGGCTTAATTGGGGGCCATTAAGTCGAGGACGGCCTGTACCGAAAGAGCATTATTATTTCCTCAGATTATAGTTTTTGTCCCTTCGCTTTTCGGTTTCTTCCTAAGATGAAACGAACACCGGAGGCAGTATTTTGTTCCAGTAGTCAATCAAGCAGATCTTTTTTAACAGTTGGCTGCTAGTCCTCACTGAGGTCCGAGAAAAGAAACTCCCGACAAGGGTCGAGTTGGGCCTTTGGGATGCAGAGGTGGCTTTTCTGGAGGGCAAAATTTGGGATATTTTCCACCGCCGGTAAATTGGCCTATTTCATGGAAAAGAGGCCAATTGCTGGCTGTGGAATTCTGGGAGTTGAAGTCCACATGCCTTAAAATTGTCAAG